GTGTGTGTGTGTGTGTGTGTGTGTGTGTGTGTGTGTGTGTGTGTGTGGTGGGGTGTCATGGAGGCTGGAGGACAACTTGGGTGTCTGTCTCAATCACCTCCACCTTATTCTTCGGTCTCTCACTGACCCTGGAACTCACTGACTAGGTTTGACTGGCTCACCGGTGAGCTCCCAGATCTCTGCCTTCCCAGTGCCGGGATTATAGGCGTGTGCCACCAGGCTTCTCAGATGAGCGCCGGGAATCTGAACTCAGCTATTCAGCTCCTGAGGCCAGCCCTCTATCAGCTGAGCCTTCTTCTTAGCTCCCAGGTTTGTTTTCCTGAGCATTTCCAAACCCTTTATGGGTCTAGTGTTCATGGCCAAGGCATAGTGACATTTTCTCTGTTCTTTGCTCTTTTCTGAGTGCTTTCCCAAGGACAGATAGCACATTGAGCGTGAAGAAGGGTCAGTTTCGGATTCACTGTGGCCTTTGGTCACCAGCAGATTAATTTCGTGGACAATTCAAGGGGAAAGAATTTAGTTGGATCATGCTTCATGACTGCCATGGCAAAGCTCAATACCACCTCAATTCTGGGTTTATATACTATTCATAATGTGGAGTTCATTAGTGCCGCAGACAGGAAGCTGGAAACTGTCTCAAGTGGGTCGCTTTCACCAGGTTGTCTAGTCGGGAGGATTTCCCATCATGCCTGGGTGGCTGCTGCGATGCTGGCCACTGCAAGCCTTCAGCTGCAGAAGGGAGGATACCTTTGATCCTGGCTGGCTTGTTTGTAAAGGTTTTCTAGTTTTGACCATCATAGTCATAATGTCATGCCTTAAGCAAACGGTCACAAAGAACCCTTGCAAAGATTCAGAACAATGTCACTTCAGGACACCAGCTTCACCTCCGCTTTCCGGGATCTGCGACAACAAATATGTGGAGACTAGAAATAACATCTGCTTTATTAAAATATATTCCGAGAGCCTGTGGAGTTCTTGGTGGGCCATGCATCTCACCCTTCCGTGAGTAAAGGGAGGAAACATCTGTCCACCTAGCCAGCTGCTGCGGACTAACTGTGCTAGCAGTTAACCACCAGGCAAAGCAACTTTCCGAAACCACCCTCTGCCTCCGTGATTTTCTAGCCGGAATCCTTACTACACAGCCTGCAAACATAACTGAAGAGGACAGGGGGCTTGGTGCTTAAGAAGTCTAAATGCACCGATGAAATTAACCATACTGAAACGTGGCCAAAGCGAATCCATTCCCTTATTGAGAAATTATGGAGATATTTACTTTTCAGTACATTAAGTCTGCGGCCACATTAGTAGTCTCCGTGTCTTTAGATTTCGCAAACGGGAACTGAAATCCAGCAAGCCGTATCAGGAGCCCATTCAAAAAGTGGACAAAAAAACAAATGAAGACCACCCAGAATGAGGTGGTATAGTTTTCATTTTGTGTTTTGTAGGCATAGGTCCCTTCTTTAAAGTTTGCGATGTTTTCCGAGAGGCGGTGGATTTTCACTTCAGAGGCAAACAATATCATGACCAGACAGCCACAGGAGCCTGCAACACGAGGAACAAACAAGACGTTAGCACAAACATCACCTGAGTGTCAGGGTCCAGAGAGAACATCAAGGAGCAGAGCAAAGACAGCATGTCTAACACCATCCCCATGTGCATTCTTCTCCAAAATAATACTGCTGGGAAAAGGCGGTCATGATTCTCCAATCCGTGATTGGTAGCACTTGGGGTGTGGCCGTAACCCAGGCAGGTTCGTGCAGGGAGAGGACACTGATGGCTTGCACAGGGCAGTTAGAATCAGGCTGACCTCACTGCACCTTCAAAGCACGGTGACAAACTCTGACTGCTAAGCAGACACAATGGCTTCAAGGGAACACGTTCCTCTGTACTTCACAGGGGACACAAGATAAATGTCAGTTATGCAAACTCTTGGGAAAAGTCCCGGGTTTCCCCATAGATGGGTAGCATGACCCCTCCAGCTCTCAACTGGCCACCACTGCCCTGATGAGTCCCTGGGGCAAAGGCAGCTATTGATAAAATGTCATTGCCCAAGAGCATCTCCTTTCTGTAGCCGAATTCAGATTTTCAACTGGGTATGTGCCCGCCTTGAATAAAGTCAGCATTATTCAGGTGAGACGAGGGTAGTTGAGGTGGAGAAGCAGAGAGGTACCACCTCACTCCTGCCTTCTCTGAGCTGAAATGTGATGCCTTCTGGGGACATTTTCGTCCAGGTGGCATCAGAAATGGCCACCTCAAAGAAATCATGAGACAGGGGAGAGAGCACTCTGATTAAAGTAGCCACTGTGCAAGTGTGAGGCCCAGGGTCCGGATCTCCAGAGCCCACATCTGGCAGGGTGGAATCACCCGGTAATTCCTGCTTACAAGGTAAAGGCAGGCATCCCCAGAGCAAGCATGCCAATAAGACTAGTTGTGTCTGTGAGCCTTGAATTTAAGCAGAGGACCTTCTGCAAAGAATAAGATGCAAGCAAGATCAAAGCTGATTTCCACCATCAACCTTGGGCCTCCATACACAGGCATGCACACATTCTCACTCAATGAGCCTCCACGAACATGAACCTCCACACACATGCATTCACACAAGAGCCTCCACACACATGCATGCACACAAGAGCCTCCACACACATGCATGCACACATGAGCCTCCACACACATACATGCACAGACACTCACTCAATGAACCTCCACACACATGCAAGCACACACTCATTCAGAAAGAAATAGAAGCCGTGTGCTATTGCAAAACAAGTAAGCACAATCTGAATTCCAGACACACGAAGCCACCAGGCTATCCCTGGACTTTAGCCTCTAAATGTCAACATGTGAAGACATTTTCTGTTTTTATTGCTTCCCTTACTTCTGTGATTCCTCCATCACCTGTCACTCGATGGAACTGTAGGCTGCATGCGACCCCTGCCAGAGAGGGCTGCTCCATTCTACTTGGGTTCTGGAAACTGATCCACGGTCATCTTCTGTCCTGAGGATGAAGAAGGGGAATCTGGCTCCCTCCCCTCTTCCCCCTCCCCACTTCAGGTGGATGGCCTCAGGGACAGAAGCAGGTAGCAAGTGAGGCTGGACCTGGAGAAGGATTGATGGGCCAAACTCCTGAGAGTTTCTATGGCTACTGCTCGATTCAGACTGCCACCACGCAGTTCTTAGTAGCAGGTGACTGGCTGAGACGGCTTTCTGACTCTGATCAGACCAGACGAGTTCAACCCCAAATTCCTACTCTTAATATATGAAATTAGGGGATTTGAATCCCCAAATTGCATGTGTGGTTGCATCATCTGTAATAGGTAGAGATTTAATGATTAGCTTTTGACATTGTAATTGATACACACAAATGATCAATTAATAGCTTGCTCTATGATGTTTCTATAGTCCTTTATGTTTCTTGCAAGCCTTTTAAAGATTTTAATAAAATATAAAATAAAATATATTTTATTATATGTGTATGGGTATTTGGCTGTATGTCTGTGCACCAAGTATATGTCTGGTATCCAGGAGGGGTGTCGGATTCCCAAGGACTGGAGTTCCAAACAGTGTGAGTCACCATGTAGGTGCTGGGTATTGAACCTGGGTCCTCTGCAAGAATAGCAAGCATTTTTAACTGCCGAGTCACCTCTCCAGCCCCTTTTCCTTCTTAATCGTCAACTGCTGCCCTGCCCCACCTCACACCTCAGAAACCTTACTATATCCAAAGCCATAATAAAGTGTCTTATTCCCTCAAATAAGATTATTGTCAATTCAGCATATGACTCTTTTTATTCTTTGATTTCAGTTACTTCAAATACTATGGGAACAGCAGCATAGTGGTCTCAGTTCCCTTTCATTAATTCACTCATTCATTTTTTTTTTCAGTTAGACATAGTATAAGGCAGGCACAGGGAGAACAATGAGGATTTGAACTTGAAAGAAAACATCCATGGTCTCTGCTCTCAAAGAGAACACGATGAGTTATGAGTTACGCAGTATAGCAACAATTATAATCTCATCGAGGTGAGTGACAGACACAGCAGGGAAGGCGGGGCACTATTGCTAAGGGGCAGGCAGCATCCTCAGGGGTATCTATAGGAAAAGCCAGCTCACAAAGGGAGAGTAGGCTGTGTGGAAGGAGATGGTAAGTGTGAGTGAGCACAGGTCCCTGTGGCCTCTCCAAAGGCATTGGATTGTAGCACAGATGGACTGATAACTGATTGCTAGGCAGAGGAGCAGGCATGGACAGGGAAGGCAGGGAAGGTGCTTTGGGACTTCACAGAAACACAGCGGTCATCCTAACACTTGCGAGGTCGAGGCAGGAGGATTTCATGAAAAATAAAAAAAAAATAAAGGAGAAAGAGGCAGGCAGACGGAAGGGGACAAAGCAGGGAGGGAGAGAAGAAGGGGGAAGAGAAAGAGAAAGAGAAAGAAGAGAAAGAGATAGAGCCAAAGAAGAGAAAGAGATAGAGACAGAGAAGAGAAAGAGAAATAGAGAGAGACAGAGACAGAAACAGAGACAGAGACAGAGACAGAGACAGAGACAGAGAAAGAGAAAGAGAAAGAGAAAGAGAAAGAGAAAGAGAAAGAGAAAGAGAAAGAGAGCCTTCCACCCAGGGCTGGCTCCATCAAATTGGTCATCATATCACACAAATAGCCGAAGGCTATCGCTTTCCTGACACTTTGCTTCCCACCCTCCTCAGCCTGGCTGCTGAGAAGATTCCTTTGTGAGATTTGTCAGCCTAACTATTTTTGTATTCCCAGCTTCAAACCAGAGCTCTCCCCTCGCAAGCCATATTATTCCTTTATTGTTAGATGCTAACAGAAAGGCCGCGATGCTGTTTTCTCTTTATCTTTTATTTGAAAATTGTAGCGAAAATGCCATCGCTGTTACTATAAGAGCTTTCTTTGTCTGAGGAGATGGTGAGTCTCAGACAGGAGAGAAACACTATTTCCTCGGTGCCTTAAAGGAAAATTCAAGCTCAGTTTCCTTTTCGAGTCGTTAAATATTTTAAAGGGATCCTTTGTTAAAGGGACAGTGTCTCCATGAGCCTGCTTTTCAGATTAGTCACCTGCACATCTTGAGGCACAAACTGGGTCTCCTCATGAAGATCCCCAGCAGCCGGCCAGCGTATGTGGCCAAGAGAGCAATCTGGGACTCCCCTCGAGACTCTGGGTGTGAGGGTTTGACCACCGTGAACTTTCTTATCTTGAAGTCAGAGGACGAAGCCCAAGGCGGAGCCATGACAGCCTGCCTGTGATTCCTAAAGGGAAACAGCCCAGTGTGAACTGAAGATATTTTTGCTTCTCTTTGTCCACCTCCATCAAAGAGATGTGGGATCAAGGATGACTATTTATGACTTACCGAGCAAAAGATACGGATGAAGGCTTTTGCTGTGTGGCCTGACTGCTTGGGTTGTGTGTGGAGGAAGGTGGGCTGAGAGACGTGAGAGATAGGAGAACCAGGCTTGTCACAGTTCCAAAATGATTCTCTATCCCAGCAAGAAGGGCCTCTACATCCTGTCCCCTGTCTAGAGGGGGTTGCTTTATTCCTCTTTAGAAAGCTCTCCCTCCCGTAACAAGGAGCATGCTTGAAGTCAAAAGAACATGTCCACCTGGAGAACAGGCCTGAGTTACAGGCCACACTGTGGGAACCTTAGAGCTCCTGCCCCAACAGACCTGAGCCTATATCTAGGCTGCAGGGTCATCTGGTCAGGGTTAGTCCTTCCAAGAGCGTGTTGGTGGCTGCTGTCATATATCCCTGAACACTGCGAATGTCTCAAGAATAGCCATTTGATATGCAGCTCAATGATACCGCCTCAATATATACTCAAAGCCCTTCCTAAATGAGATGAAGCCGACCTAGGAAGGGAAGTAGACAGAACTGGAGTCCAGGGTGCTTCTGTCACTGACTCACAGGCAGAGTTCACAGCAGTCAAGGATTCTAAATTGAGACCCCCCTCCTAGGTCCTTCTGGACGGCTGGTTCTGGGGGAAGAAAAACTCAGCGCATTGAATTGAATAGTTTAATTAACTTTAAACATAAATGTTTAAACTTACGGCATATGGATTTTTACTCGTATGCTCCCAAGGCCTCACACATGGTAGAATTAGGTCTGCCTGTCTCTCTCCTCTTTTGTCCCAGTGAACATGTACATCAAATTCCCTAGCTCAGCTGGAGCTACTGCGACAGGCCCCCGGCATGTCTGTCCGTCTGATCCTCACTGCTGGACTCACAGGGGAGTTAGAATGGACCAGACTTTGGAAGCCTGCTGAGCCGCACTCACACTAGAATTTGGAAACCAACCAGGTGCAAGGCCCACGTTTGCAGCCCGGCATCGCACACAGCGACCACAGCCACATTCCTTTTGTCTGTCTGACTTCCCCACCATCTGGATGCTGCTGTGCTTGTACTCCCTGCCTTTAATGGCTTTGATTACTAATGTAATTTCTGACTGAATAAGAAAGCTGAGTTATAGGGCTGTCATACCACAAATGAGCAGACACGTACAAACATTCACCATGGGCTAGCCACAGCACACTGGTGATTCTCATCTGGCAGCTGCCCAGGAGAGCCGGGTTGGGTGTTGT